CAATGCAGATAATCCACCCACAGTTAATAAGAGTTGAATATATTTTAAATATATAAATCTGCACCATAGTTCTATTTGGAATTCTTTTACTATACCCAGTTGGTCTACTTCAGCTCTGTGTCTCTTTGGAGCATCGATGATGAATGTGCTGCTAGAATGCCATATGCCTTAATGGTTTTGCATGTACTGGTGACTGTTCACCTATCAATGGGTGACTTTCCTGTACTCAAAAACATGGGAGGCTGACACAAAATGAATACAGTTGTCCAGTTTACCTTTCCAGCCCTGTACAGTGTCATCGATAGTACAAGAGTCAGTGGAGAGATGATTTTGGAAATTTTACATCTGAGTCTGTTTAGATGTTATTTCTTTAAACCTAAGCTTGATGTATAGTTTCATTAATCTCTTGAAGTCAGCCTTCAAACAGGTGAAGGCAACTTCACACTCTGGAGGTTTAGTTCATTTGGTAGAAATGTTCATTTGGTAGAAATGATTTTCTAGGCTTAGTTTCTCAGAAAGGAGGGAAAAGGCTTGAATTATACTAAATCTATGATATCTATTCTAAGCTAAGGTGCTTCTTTGCTCTTCTTATGATAGGTTGTTCTTTCACTGCATTTCTGCTTCTTACAGAATTGTTAGATCAAGAATGTTTTCTTTAAGCACATCGAATTCAGGGTAGGTTTGCGAAAACCCACAGTCTAACTGCTTGGAGACCATCATCTGCGAACTACACATTTCTTTCACTCCTTCCCAACATAAAATGTATATGTTTTATTCAGGTGGCTTGTATTTTGACTTCAAAAAGTGGTACAAGGTGGTAAAATGTGCCTTGGATGAGAAGCAAAAGAAATTAGATGAAGAGAGAGCCAAGTAAGAGGTTTTTAAGTACTTTTTCTTTTTTTAAGATAGAGTTCTACATTAAATCCTGACCCCCACAGAAATTAAAAGGGTTAGGAATTTGCTCCACATTCCCATCCACCAAGCTTGGGTGAATAGCATGATTAAATCACTATCTTAAATTTCTATTTACACTCATAGTGTTTATCCAGCATATTAATTAAATGCTTACTTTCTGTGACAAGTAGCTTATGCAGCTGAGCAATCAACATACCTCAGTTTGTCTACTCTGAAGAAAAGACTTTCTAGATTTACTGGGGGGGGGGGGGGGGGGGGGGGGGGGGGGGGGGGGGGGCAGCTTTTAATGGCACTAACCATTAGATTATTTTGATTTAAATTTAATAGCTCTAGCAGTATTTGTAAGAAATTGCTATTCTTTTACTTATTTACTCCACTTGCTTTCTTAACAGTTCTTATGTCTCTTACTGCTAGGTGTTTGTGGAGATGTGAAAAGCCACTGTTTTATTCAGCTGAGATGAAATCTAAAGTTCTGAAGAGAAGACGTGAGTAAATTTTGCTTCTTCCCAGCAGTGCAGAAATCTGCTCTAACTTTTCCCACCATAGAGAACCTGCAGCCCTGACTGATAACATTTACATCTTAAAATACTTTCTCTTCTCTTTCACCTCTGGGTACAATTACTGTACTTCTGTTTTACAACCTGCGGCTGGAATTCTTAAAACAGACTTTTTCCTCATGCTTAACTGAAACTGCCTTTGCCAGTCTTCCTAATGACCTACTGAACCACATCTCAAAATGAGTAGCCTGTTGCCATTTTCACTGGTTTGTCAGCTGCCCTTTTATAGCTGTGAGCTTTGTGAATTGTTACTGCTATCCTGTAACTTTCCCGTCCCTTTTCTTTACTTTCTCATATCCTTTAGTATGGATATCCCAGGATGTCCTTTGGTAGATCTTGCATGTTCCTCTTTTCTCCCTCTCCTTCTTGCAGTCTTCTATAGGAAGTGAGGAAGACTTGTCTGAACAAGGCTTTACTTTAATAGCTAGCGATATGTGGTGAGGATGCAAGTACGTCTACTTTATTTTAGTAACTCTAGAAGTACTTATAAGAAATTACTGGGGTTTACACTGACATAAAAGCAAGCAGAAAAAAATGACAAAACCCACGCTTACCTGTGGAAATATGGAAGACCAGAATTTTACTCAACCAAATCAGTTCCGAAATTCTTCATTCTATATTTAACAGTATCTAGTAAGTAGCAGCTATCTAGGGAGAGATATGTTAAGTGTGGCAAATGGTATTTTTCCCTTTATCCCTCTATATGCTTCCATTTTCTGGAAGTGACTTGTTAAGGGACTTCAAAATAAGTTGTGTAATCCTGTTTGGTTTGAATAACTCATGTTGGATTTTTCTTTTAAGAATGCAGTTGGGGTTTTTTTGAATGTTCTTGCTCTTCAAAATTCAGTGAGTGTCAACTTCAAGTCATGTTCCATGGAAAAACATGTTTAGATTTGTTTATTTCAAGCTGATCATTTGCCCAGATGCCCTTTAATTCCTGCATTTAGAAGAAAAAGTGAATGATTCATTGTTCATAATTTCTGTGGCCCTCGATTCCTCTTCTGGCTCTGCTTTTCTTCAAGCTAAAAGAGGACCACTTAGATTATGAAGTTTTACCACTGGCTGTTGCGAGCAGGACTATCACGTAATGCCATTGTAAATGGGCAAGATTCATCTTAAAACAAATTTCAGATAATAGAAACAAAGAGCGCTCTAGAAAGAACACTTATGTGCCAGATACAGGATTTCAGAAACATTCCTTAGACTTTGTTTTTGGTGGTAGATTTTAGTATCCTCTTGAAAGGTAAGCTTACCAGTCTTGGATTACTTTAGGATGTCTTTTCTGCCATTTTATTTTTCCAGTTTATCAATGAGTTTATTCAGATACAGGTCATAAAAAGAAGTTGAAGTTCCAGTAACAGTGGTTTTTAACCTGCTTTTTATCCTAGCGAAACAAGGCTTAGGCAGACATACTGTGTGTGCTGATCTGTCATCATAACTTAGAATCATAGAATCATAGAATAGTTAGGGTTGGAAAAGACCTTAAGATCATCTAGTTCCAACCCCCCTGCCATGGGCAGGGACACCTCTCGCTAAACCATGCCACCCAAGTCTCTGTCCAACCTGGCCTTGAACACTGCCAGGGATGGAGCATTCACAACCTCCCTGGGCAACCCATTTCAGTGCCTTACCACCACAGTAACTTCTTTCCCTTCTTAGCCTCAGTGATTTAGGAAAGTTTGTCACTCTTTCACAAGCAGCAGGGAAAGGTGGAGTGGGGTGTGTTGGTTTTTTGGTTGATTGGGGTTTCTTTTGTTTTTTGTTTGGTTTGTTTTTTTGCGTTTGTTTGTTTGTTTGTTTTGCAGTTAAAAATTGCACTATGAAAAGCTTAACCTTAAATCTGTATGTATATGAAACTAGGCTTCCTTAATTCTGATACACAGAAAACTACTTAAACAACCTTAGCCAGTCTGAGAGATAGCATACAACCAACTAAATATAGCAAAAGGCATCCTGGTGCCTATCAGCATAAAAATACCAACAATATCAGTTAGATTTTACAGGTTTTAATTGGGGGAATGCTTTTGGAGTGCCCCAGTCTTAATATTACTATGTGTGAAAGACATGGCATTTTGAATCATCTTTCAAAATCTTTAGCGAAAACATGTGACAGAGTTGAATTTTAAATGGAATGGGGAGAGAACATACAGGTTTTTCAAGGTTTAAAGGAAAAAAGAAATCAAAAGAAAAAAAGGAAGCACAAATCCCCTATTTTCTACAGGTATTAATCACCTCTAAACAGTATTCTAATATTTAATACTTTTGCCTTGGTGTTTTTTTTTTCTGTTTGTTTGTATTTGTACAGAAATGGCTGTGAACTTACAAAATCAGTTTGGCAAGCTGTCTGGTTCCGTGCAACCTCCTGAAAAGCCAAATCCTTCAAGTTTTCAGTTAAGTTGGTCAGAAGAAAACACAGATGGGAGTTGTTTTCACGGGCATAGCCTGAAGGGAATTTTGCAAGAAAAATGTGGTTTACTTAAACCCATGAACCCTGGCTATTGGCTGTGTACAGTTAAACTATGCACTGAGAAGTAAGTATTCAGATTTTTGTTACATACACTTTGGAAAGTTCTCCTGAAAATAAAGTGGCATGTATGCAGTTTTTACAAATGACAAATACGCGGTGTGCACACAGCTATTTATGTATTCACATCTAGTTAAAATCACTTGTAAAAGGGTTGTGTGTGGAATGGTTAGTCTTGGATTGGGAGTAGACAAATTGTAATATGAAGAGTGATCAAAGTAAACTTTTGATAAGAGAGATGAAACAAAACCAGCAACAAGAGTCACATGGCAAGACTGGCAGCTATATACAAATACTCACTTTGCTTCTTTCTTCATAGTATTTTAGGCAAAACTTGTGCCACAACCCTCTAGAGAATGGGAAAATGGCTCCATTCCTCTCCTCCCTGGTCCCCCAAAAGGCATAGGAAATTAACTTTCTAAATCACTATGCTGCTGTTGTGATGGCCTTAATAAAAAAAAATGAAAGTTCAAATAAGCAATTAATGCTTTCAGAATATACTTTTAAAAAGTAACCGTGAGTGAAAAGGATTTTGCCACTATTTCATCTAAGCATAGCGGCAATCAAGAGTTGTATTTTTTGGAAGCACAAAATAAAAGATGAAATTTCTTTCACTGGAAAAGTAAAAGAAGAAACACGGGAAAATAAACCATTTTGTGCTATTAAGGAAGTTTAGTGTTTGTGTCTAGTAGAGAACTGTTCCCAAATCCTTCCTTCTCAAGTGAAAGGGATCATTTTTTTTCCATTAGGTTATATAAAACAGTCATTCTATTTGTTACTAAAATTGTTGTCTTCAAAGGAGAATAATATCTCCGCTAATCCAGCCTTGTATGGATATTTAAGTATCTGTCTGGATTGTGTTGAACTTCTCTTCCTTTAATACCTTCTCATTCTGCGAAAACTGGTGAGTTTTCTACTTAGGGGGTGCTGGCAAAGAACCATCCCTGGCAGTGTTCAAGGCCCAGGTGGATGAGGCTTTGAGCAGCCTCGTCTAGTGGCATGGCAGAGGTGTTGGAACTGGATGATCTTTAAGGTCCCTTCCAACCCAGACCATTCTGTGATTCTATGACCATGGCCAGAGACAGAGGGCAAAAGCCCTGCTGAGTGAGTGTAGGAGTTCAGCAGCATTTATTCCAGGGAAGAGGAACTATCTGAACTCCCTGGGTAATGGAGGTATGGCTTCTGGATCATGCACCAGATTTCAGTTTGCTATTTGTTGTATCATGAACCTTTAATCCAGACGAGGAATGTACCGGTGAGTATCGGTGAGAGACGAACTTGGCTTGGATTCTCCTGAATTTCTCATGTATGCAGTTGGAAGGTGTTTTCTGGAAAGGAGGTCAAATTTCATTAATGTGAAATGAGATTTCATTAATGCATTGAATAACATCTTAAATCTTTATCTGTTTGTACTTCTAAATGACATGCTCAGGAGAGCAATAGCCCCTACAGTCTTAGCAGTGTGTTCCTGATTTTTAAAACATTAAATATTCCCCTTGAAAATAACTGGGTTTACATTTATGCAGTCTTTTCTGTCTGTCGGTGGATTTATTTGCGTATCTTTATTTTCCTTTTCATATTACCTTTCACATATCCACCGTGACAGAAATGGGTTGGAATAATGTAAGCACAGTGTTATATTACAAGAGCTTTGGTTGTATGGATTCATTCTTTTGTATGAATAAGAACTTTTTTTTTTTTAAGGGAGGAGAGGTAATAATCCTTTTACCACAAATTTGCGTAAATCTTATGCACACAGTGAATGCGTGGATATTTCAGTGTATGTTTGTGTGAATAATCTTTCATGCAAAGTCTGTTTTTAAGCCTACATTTTCATATGTAATATAATAAAATGTTAATGGCAAACTGTCATAGCCTTCATGAAACAAGATTTGAATTAAAATTCTTACCGGTTAAATTTCCCATTATATCATTTGCAATGCAAGTAGTTAATTATACATCTGACACTTACTTAACTTTGGAAAACAACATCTACTCCCTTAAATATGAGGGTTGCAAGTGTGTGTATGTATAATAGAACTAAAAACAAACTTACAAATTCTCTTTCTTTAAAAATCAGCATGGTCTAACAGGGACTACTGAAATGCTTTAATCCTAGGGCTAAAGCATGATTTGATTGTGGGCAAACCTGAGATCAGTCAAATGGTTGGTGAAATGCTTTTACATTTGCTTGTATTTTAAAACTTTCAGCTTTAAACTGGATTCTAAATTGATTTCATATAGAAGCCTTTAGGTGATACCAGGCTTTATGGTTGGACTCAATCTTAAAGGTCTCTTCCAACCTAAATAATTCAGTGAGCCTACATATGATTAGGTATTACAATGTGTGAAAATGTTGAGAAAAATGGATTTCCCTTATTACATCTAAATTTAAAATCACCTGGTGGTTTGGGTTTTTTTTAGCTCTTCAGAGATGCTCTTAGTGTAAATAGCACAAAAATAGCACAAAATGGGGCAGAAATGATTAGGTACTCTTGTGGAAAGTATAACTCCAGTTTGTAAGTGCTTTACAATATCAATGTAATTATGCATTTGCCTCAGAATACACGGTATCACTAATCTGCCCCCCAATGAAAACTGAGATTTGACACCTACATTGCCATAAGAGCTGTAATTTCTGAATCTCAGGGGTGTAGCAAAATGTCTTAATTTATATTAGCCAAAAAAGGCAGATTTGGTTCAACCCAACATTTCTCAATGAAGTTTGAATTTAAACAACGCATTGAGTTGTGGGAACAGCTGGTTTGTTCTGATGCTGCTGAAATGTCTCATTTAATTTAGTTTCTGTAAGAAGTCGCTGGCAGCTTTCAGGAATTGTGAGGTAGGGCAGAGGATGGGATGTACAGCGTGAGAGACCTAGTTTCACATTTCCAATCTGCCAGACTTCAGGAGGCTTCAAACAAAGACTCCATTCCCAAAGTGCAGCTTGCATGGCACTGCGGGATGGGTCCGTCTGTTCCTCCAGTTTGAGGTAAAATGTAAATGCGTGTTGGGCCAGAGGGAGCGAGCAAATGACTCTATAGTCTGGTAATTAGCACACTTGCTTGTAAATTGGGACAGACAGATTCCAGTCCTTGTTCTGGTGAATATTTAAGACCGCTGCTCTGAATCAGACAGAGGGGAAATTTTAAACCCTGCTTCTCCACATCCCAGGGCAATACAGTACCTAGTAAGCTAGAAGATGCATCGACTTATGGGGAATATCAACTGAATCCCCATATCAATGTAAAAGACTGTTTAAAAAATGGAAACAACTGAATTTTATACTGTTTTAAACTTACCACTTTTACTAAAAACATATTTGAGGCTAACCCAGCACAGGATATTTTTCCAGCCTAAGTTGCTGAACTTAACACAGAACTCTCCCTGCAGTCTGTCTTCTGTGTCATCATCTATTCAGTCTGACACTTCTTACCAGCAAGTTCAGTCTGCTATCACCATTATATGCTTCATCAATAAAATCACCTCACCATTTTCAGTAACATTTTCACCATGAAAGCTACAATATAATTAAGCAGAAGGCTGCTATAGCACTTACCACTTTCTGTTGACCTGGTCAATGTTTGCCCCAGTATTTCTGATGTTACTCCATTGACTTGAACATAGTTTCTTGTTCTAGACAGGTAATTTACATTTAGGACACAAAGGAAATGGACAAGAAATGATGGGTTATAAACCCATGGCATAGTGTCAGCAAGAGGAGAGAGGACCCTACAGAGGGTGTGGGCAAGGACTAGAGAACAGAGCCTGGGGTGTCTGCATTGGATAGTCTTACAGGTTTTAAAAATAGGGTAATGTAATCATTTTTCACGCTTTGCTACATTTGCTAAAAGCTAGTAGGATGAACAGTGGTTCAATTTAGTCCTGAAAGACAAAGAATGTATTGGTTATGATAGTGATTCACAGTGCAAGAAGCTATACAGGCTTTTCCGTCTTACTGTGTTTGTACCATCTCTGAACATGTCTTGGTCTGGTCCTGTCCTTCAGGGTTTTGCAGGTGTGGGTCCCACCACAGAACTGATGTTGAAAACCAAATTGTGATTTATGCTGATGGTAAAATGTAGAGTTTTCTTCTAATTAAAATGGAATATATAAATGCTAGCTAAATGCTAACGAAATATACTTATAATTTAAGGAGCTTTATTTTTTTTTCCCTTTCTTTTCAGATCATGTGGTCATCTGGCTCATTACTCCAGAGAAGAGGACTTTCCCCAGAGTTACCATTTTGTACTAAGCTTATTCTCCTTTCTTCTGAGGATACAGCCCTCCTATATCCATGATGAGGTCTGTGTGATAGAACATAAACTTTTTAATAAAAAACTCTATAAAAAGCCAAAATGCAGAAGAGGCCTAAGGAAGTAAAAAGGCCTAAATATAACATTATTAAAACCATGTAAATTAGTTGGTTCGATCCCAAAATATGATATTACAACTAAGGTGGAACTGATACTTTTGCCTGCCTTCAGATTTTTTTGTTAAGATTGTACTGCTGAGACCTATTACTGTACTTTAGTTGTAGTGTCATTTTATCTGTAACTGAAGTCACTGGTTTCCAGCTGGGAAAGTTACCAAGGAAACTGTTTATTGCTATTTATTTCCTCACTTTGCATCAAAGCCAACAGGAAGCTATGAAATTACCATGTTTTTTTGGCATAGTTATACATGCTTCAAGTGTACTGGACAGCACGTTGGCATCTAATTACATTGTGAGACTTTGCAATTAAGATACCTATTTTTTTACCTACTGTTATATGACAGCAAATATATTTCTAGAAAGTAATGTTTACTTTGTTTTGAAATAGTGTGTTAACAAATAAAAGGAGCAGTTGGTTGATGTTTTCACTGCAGTGATTTTTTTACTCATTGTTTCTAAACATGCTGTTCTGGAGCAACTCTGGCACTGCTTTCTACATTTCCTTGCACCCTGTATGTCTCCCAGTCTCTTGATGTGCCTGAACCTCTCATTCAGGTTCATGTTTCACTCCAGGCTTCACAGATTTTGCAGCTGCTTTCATATCTTTTATACCTTTTATACCCCTACATAGTGTCCATCCTGTTTCTTGTGCAGCGGTATCTGCCAGGTCCTCCTGTCATTCTTCTTTTGCAAAGCTATTGTCATTTAAATTTCTTCTGACCACTTTGTAATTCAGCATCTTCAGCGGCTTGCACCTCAGACATTCTACCAGTTTCTCATGCTCAGTATTATTTATGCACTGTGGTTTTAAATTGTCCCAGACAATGTGTAAATGAAGTTGGGTGCTGCCACTAAATCAAAGACACCAAAACATATGTATATGTTGAACAGAGATGTTGAGTAGATACTCAGATGAATAATCCTGCTTTCAGTTGAATGAAATAAAATTCAGCAACTCCAGCCATCAGTAAGGGCAGAGTACAGACGTTGCCAAATCCATTTGATCAAAACCAAAATCAATAGCTAAGTATTATTATAGACAAGAAAAATGGTGCCTGCAGACGACTTTACAAAGAGTAATGTCTTCCTTCCTGAGCAAGGGCTTCAGTAAGATGCAGTGTGGGAAGATAAACAGTTCAGTGAGTAGACTCTGAGTATAATGAAAGTGTTTAAAATCTATTGCAGTTCAATCCATGAAACCATTGTCTAAAAAACTGGAACAGGTGAATGATAGGAGAGATGTGCTGCTCTACCTGTCTGGAGCTAAGTAATAAAGTAGTATGCCAAGCACAGGCAAAGCAGACAAGACTATTAAAGGTAAGCTGTCCTGGTTACTTCAAAATGTTGGCAAACCAGGAGGCTTTGCCTGCTCAGTGGAGGCAGGAGGTAAGTAAGTGGGGTGTCCTGATTTAAGGTGACAGAAAAGACAGTTTGGGTGAAAGTGTTTACTTTTTTGATATTTTCTATAGTTATTGTAGAATAGGGATTTAGAGCGACAGTCCTAAAAAATGATGGTAACATGCAGATGAGAAGTTATAGTTTTAACCATACAGAGCTAAACTGTACTTGATGGTGGAAAAAGAGCAGACTTGGTTTGCTGCTTGTTGTATGTGTTAGGGATTTCATAAGTGGGTACAGTTTAGTAAAATCTATTGCCACGTTGTGCAGTTGTGCATACGCACCTCAGACTTCTGATGAGATGTGTCTTGAACTGATGTTTACATTAATGGACTCAGAATATGCCAGTTTGAAGCTCATGTTGTGTCTGGTGTTTGTTTTAAAATTAGCCATTATCTATTATGTTTGACCTCACCTGAGCGAATTGCTAAACTTTGTAAATATCTGGCAAAATTACTCACTGTTCTTGTTCTAGATGGGTGTTTGACTTAAAAATACACAGAAGGGTAATACACGTTGTCACAGTGCTTGCTCAAGCGACTGAAAGTGTCTCATTCTTTTTACTGTAATATCTGTTAAAGGTTTGTATTAACTATCTAAAAGACACCTTGTTATACTTAAAGGATTCATTTAATTCAAAAGTCTTTATTTGAAAGACTTATGCACTTAATTATAAGTATACCTTTCTTTTAAAACTACTGTAGTAGTAAAATCTGAGCTTCATAAATTAAAAATACTGTGCTCATTGTTACATTGTTACAAAAGTAAAAAAAAGCTGCCTTAGATGTTAGAGTAAATTAAGGCTGTACTTTAATAAACTGGAATAAAGCTTGCAGTTAATCATCAAGAGCCGTGTGCCTTCTGGACACATAGGTTAAGAGTCAGATTTAAAAGTAAAGGGTGTGCCCCTAAAATACTTAATGTTAGTTCTATCCAGTTTAATCAATCAACACTTATGTTGGACTAATGATGTTGAAGAAGCTGATGAGCCATAAGAGTGCCTTATCTTCAGTGAAGTGTAGTTGAGCGTTCTTGGGACAACTGCTTTGAGTCCAGTTAATATAACCCTGAGGTGGAGCTGTGCTGGTTGAACAGACAGCTACCGGTGGATAGCTGAAGGGTAGGGTGTCTGCCACAGCCCAGCCTTTCTAACCACCTCCTCTATCTGCTTCTAATTTACACCTCCTTTGTGTAACTATTTGCTGAAAATGTTCAGGTAAAGCCCAGCTTTCTCATAGCTACTTTTTTGTACTTCTTCCCATGGAAATTTTAAGTAAAGAGACTCAGTTTGTTTTCTTTCCTACTCTAAAAGTTGAATGAGTTCTTAAGTATATAGATAAAGGCAAGTGGGTTATTTTAGATTAAACTTTTAAAGCAGTGTATGTTGAGAAGACTTAGAATAGTTAAATAATTATTAACTTGGACAATAGCAAATCAGTTACTCTGAGACCTAGATGTGCCTTCTGAAGGGAATTCAGGCTTTTTTCTAGTTTGTGTGTTACATTTTAACACACTGATTTTTTTCTATCTTTAAGAGTGCAAAAGTAGCCTTGCTTTATGAAGTCTCCCAAATAATGCAACCTTTCTGTTTTTTTTTCAGTGGAGATACAGAATCACAGAAATAGTTTGGGTTGGAATGGACCTTAAAGCTCATCTAGTTCCAACCCCCTGCCATGGGCAAGGAACCTTCCACTAAACTAGGTTGCTCAAAGCCACATTCAACCTGGCTATGAATATATATTTATGAATATATATATACATATATCTGAAAATGACAGATAATCTTTTCTTTTGAAACGTACAGCCTTCAGCAGAACAGATATTTTACCTTGCTAGCTTTTCACTACCTCAGTGTGTCTGCATTCTCAATAGCAACTTAATAACATGTATTTTTCTTTTTAAAGCTTTTATGATTTTCCAGACATGAAAGAGGGGTATTTGACTTTCTCCTTAACTTCTTACACAGAGTGAAGGTCCTGAACCTGATTTAACCAGAGAATGAGAATCAGCAAAGCCCAATGCCTGCAAGCAATGCTAGTTTAATTTATTGGGCATACTGTGCTGCATGGGCTTCACTGCAATTACATATTCCCTAACCCATTTTTAGCATGACCCCTGAAACAACCGTGTTTGGAAGATTTGAGAAGGCTCTGTGCAATCTTACCGGCAATGCAATGAGTAAGTCACTCTCTGATGACTTCTTGGAAAGGTCAAAAACCCTTCCTCAAAATTACTTTCCTCCCTTTATGGACAAACGAGACTTTTGCTGATGGTCCTGAAAAATTATTTTGGGGTATTTATGGTAATTTTTCAAGAGGATGCTTTTGCAGGGCCGGGAGCGAAAGAACTACAACCCACGGGGCTTCTGGGAGAGGTGAGGTCTGAAAATGTTAAGTCCTTGAGGAAGATGTGTGCTCCCTGGTTCATTTGCCCTTTCCCCATGTCCTTTCCCCACATCACTGCATTTGTCCTTGTACTCAATGCAGAATGCTTGCTTTCTGGTATTTCCTCTGCAGTTACTGGTCTTGTTGCTCCTCTACCTGTGAAGCTTCTTTGTTCCTGGGTCAATTAGATGAGGGAGAGAGAGCATAAAGGGGATGCCAAGATGTTGAAACAGGTGCATAAAAGATCTTTCCTCAGTGCTGCTTGTGCTAGAAACAGTGAACAAGAGGGTGAGTAAGGATTGGCAGAACAGGAGATGATGAATGCTTGTGTCCTCATGTGAGGTTATAGCTGCCCTTGTACAACTGCTAATGGCAGCATTTCTAGAGCCAGAACACTCATTGCCAATCCTCAGCACCTACACTCTGCCTCTGGCAGTACATCAGGGAGTTCTAAAAGAAAATATAAGCACATTCCTCTTGATAATCTCACATGGCTGCTCTGTATTGTATTCTGTGCTCATAGACCACCCTGTTGTCCTAGCAGTGGCTTTGCTCATTGGTTTTAGACCCCACCATTGCCTCCTGAGAATGCCACCATGTGTGTGGTTAGTGTCTGTGTTGTGATCTGATATCTTGCTCTGGATCCTGGGATGCTTCTGTGCCACCTTTCTGTGGAGGACACTTGCAATAGCTGGCTGATGGAGCGTTGCATATCTCTGACAGGGCTGCTCTAGTGGTGTGGCGTAGAGTGCAAGGGTGAAGATGCTGCCACTTGACAGGCCCAGGGAAGAAAAGAGCATCCTAATATCCAGGTGCCCCAGCTCTCAAGGTGAAGACATTGGACTGCAGAGCTAGGGATTTCCTGGTGAGCCATCAGCTCCTCACCAGCTAGGCAGGCTTCAGTTCTGCAGGCAGGCTGGTTCCTCTGCTGCTGCGCAGGACCTCGACTGTGGCCTTGTGACCACCACTTTCAGTTTGCTCTGATGCTAGGATGTGAAGCCATCCACCTGGATCTCATCTGCACAGTAAGTCACGCTGCATCGATAAGAGATTGTGGCAGAAAGTTTTTGTGTACTTGAACTGAGCTCCATGGTGCTGCTAACTCCTAACTGGGCAGTGGGGTGATTTCTGTGCTGCAGACCAGAGCGGATTAGGCAGAGAACAGCATGCAGTGAAAAAGCTGCACACGCTGTCCTCTTACTATACCGCTGTCAGCCTGCATGGCAGGACCTGCATGCACGCAAGTCAAACCAGGGGAAACATAATATTAAGTAGAGACAATAAACATTCAGTGAGACTGGATAACCTGCTGAAGATCTTGTTGATAAAATTCTAGGCTTCAGGATAACTTTGCTTTAATATATAGGTTGCTGCAAAATTGATTAATTTACATTGTAGTGATTTTGGAGGGTACTCAGGCTGATGGAGCTGCATCTCCTGCCCTGAATAGTCTGTATGCTCTCAGCAGTGTCTACATTACCTTTAGGGTTCAATACAGAACCAAAAGGGAATTTTTAAGAATGCCTGCAAGATTACATATGACTGAAGCAAAAAGCAAACTGTTTCTTTAACTTTTCTGTTCCATATTTCACACATTGTGCTTTCGTTTCTTTACCCTTCCCCTCACCCCACCCCCCAGCTTTTTCCAGCTTCTCTTTCCAGCTTCCTTTCCTACTGTCACTTGTCTGTCTTTCAACTGTACCTGCTTTCACCTTGCTTCCTCTAGTGAGTTCATGAACGTCTTCATGGGTTTTTCTCTGGTTTTCTACCCCTTTGATGCCTTTGGGCTTATTCCCAGAGAGTCAGTGATCAGCTTCACGCTTGCTCTTCTAGCTCTGTCGTTAGTAACCACAGGCCTGTTGGAGAAAAGCAAAGCTTTCCTGGTGTTCTGTGGAGAGTACAGAAGATTCACTGCTCCTTACATCAAGCTCTGCAGCAGGGCCCTCACATCTTAGGGGTTCAGGTTAGGTAGTCTTGTTTTGACTCCCTTCTGCGTTTTGTGAAATCAAAAGTGCTGCTACAAACTTGATGCAACTTGTTTATTGCACAGGTGTGAATGGCCAGTGAGTGTAGATGTTAACAAGGATGAGATTTTAAAGCCTTATTTGTTAGGTAAGTCATCACAGTAGCTAATCCTTGTCCAGAATAAATCTCAGTTTCTCTAGATAGCGATGACAAAAGATAAGACTAGGAAGAGGTGCAAGCAAGTTGAGACAGCACTTGGCCACATGGTTGCAAGCAGCATGTAACTTCTGTGCAGTTCCTTAATGTGTTTTGAGAGGGAGACAAGTGAAGAAGGTAAGAACGCTGACAGCAGGACCAAGGCAGAGGCAAAAGTAAATGGAAGGGCATGAGAGAGAGGTGGAGGAGAGCAATGAGATTGAGGTGAAAGGGTCGAGCGAGGGAAGAAGTTGGAGGGAACAGTGCAGGGCAAGGGGAATCCTGCCAGGGCGCTGCCACACTAGGCTGGCACGGCTTTATACTCAAGCCAAAACTCTGCTAAATCCTTTTGTGCTTCTTCCCTGATTTTATTCAGCAATGATGCAACCCAGTTGGTGACATCACAGAAATACACCTACCAGTGGTGTTACAGAGTCTAGATGGTGACCGGCAGGTTAGTCAGTGGTGTCACAATCCAGTGTTTATATCGTCTCCTGAATGTGGAAGCGATTCCTATGTCGATAATTAAGTTTTCATCAGCAGATCAGGCTGTTAGGAAAGCCATTCCTTTTGCAGAGACAACAGCCTTGATTTACTTGGAATAAAATCATGGCAAATTCTAGTTAAGTGCAAGTACCAAGTGTGGCACATCATTAAGATTGTAGCAGTTTGGGTGCAATGTAAACATGTGACTGAGCTGCTGCATCTGGGTCACTTACAGGGGAGTATTATATGTTATTGTTAGTGAAAAGTATGCACGTATGCCAAAAAGCAGCAATTGTGTCTGTGCATCCCAGGGTTCTACAAACGGCACAGTGAATAACACCCAAGAATGTTACCAGTCCTTCCCAGTACTTGGGATTTTGAGCTGGTTTTGTAATTTGTATTGGAAACAAAGCAAGTTTGGAAAAATGACATCTTAATCAGATGACAGTATTTTTTCATATGTGAGAGCAGATAAATCATCTATGTAGTATCAAATTAGATTTTTAAAAAGGATTAAAAATATAGAATACCTTTTATTGCATGTCATAAAGAACAGTTTACATCAGTTCGTTTCACATCAGAAGAGCAGGATCCTACTTCAGTAATGATATTTATCTTTTGCCATCCTAGGGGCAATGTCTGCAGATCGCAACAAACATTTTGTTTCTAGAATGCTAGTTGTAATCCAGTCAGAGCATATTAAGCAACTTTCAGGATTAGACCCCTAGTGAAAGTTTGTTCCATTCAGTTTCGTATTTCCTTCAGTTGGCTGCTTGAATTGTCCTTCTATAATTTTGCATTGGAGTATATCCTGTACAAATAGGGAAGAGATTTTGACCTAGAAGAAGAGACCTCTTATTAGTGTGCATACTTCTAAATTACAGTAGCTATCTGCAGCATCTTGACATATGATAGATAGCATTGTTGCTATATGGGTTGGATTCAACTTGTTACTTAAACAACCAACCTCCCACCCTTATTTCTCAAGGAGAAACTTCAGAGCTTTCTGATTCAAATTCACCAATGCCACTTTGGATCTATCTGATGTATTTGTAATGTTGCTGCTGTTTAAACAGAGGATTTAGATGCATTTCCAGCAGTAGCTCCATTGTAAACCTTTCTTTCTCTGCAAACCCGGGTTCACCTGTGATGCACGTAACGATGCTAGTATCTACTGTACTACAGCAGTCAATGCAGTGCAAATTCACGTGCCTTGTTTCGTTTTCCTAAGAACAGGGTTAGCGCAGGAGCGATAATGGTGTTCGGGATGGGAGAGGGAGAAGGGAAACCCTTTTTTACTGCGAAAAAGCTGCCCAGGTGCTTCCCTCGTAGCCCGCCTCTGGCGTTAGCCTTACCCCCGTGAACGCGTGCTGGGGGAAGGTGAAACCGGACAGAAAAAGTGTTTTGTGTTGGTTTTTATGTTGTTTTTTACCTCAGGAAAGCGGCCTTTGACAGTGGAGCGCACTGCCGCCCCAGAGAGCCCCCAGCAGCGGAGGAGCACCTTCCCCGCCAAGTTTTACTCGTTCCTAACTTGCGCCGCGGCCAGGACCCCGCAGCACTGCCCGGGCCGGGCCGGCCTTGCCTCGGCTCTGTTCGGCCCGGTCCCTGCGGGGCGCCTCACCTGGCCCCCGTCCCTCACGGAGCGCCGGCCCCGCCCCTCCCGGCTGCCCAATGGGGGGCGGCGGACCCGCCCCGCGGTCCGCGGCAGCCAATGGGAGGCGTAGCGTGGCGCCCGTCCACCTGCGGCTGCGGGAGCCACCTGAGCGGGCGAGAAAAGCCGACAAAACCCGTCGGTGCGGCGGGCTGCGCGCTGCTCTGTCCGCTCCCCCCGCCTTGCCCTCCCGACCAGCTGGGCCAGTTCTGCCGCCCGCTGCCTCCGACAGACATGACACAAGACTACGACAAGTGAGTGAGCCGGGCGGGGAAGGGGACAGCCGGGTCCGGTCCGACCGGTACTGTCGCCCTTCAGGGGGGCTGCTGCGAGAGGGGCTCGCCGCCCGGGGGCCGGGGCGGGGAGAGCCGCTTCTCCCTGGGGGCCCGCCCCCCTCCATCTTCTCGGGGGAGTGACCGGAGGCTGCGGCGGAGCGGTGCGAAATGGCGCGGGGAGAGCAGGAGGGGGAGTTGAGGGGGGGTGACGGGGGATGAGCCCCGAGGGGGTCCCGGCGGCGCAGCGGAACGACCCCGGCGGCCTCCCCACCCAACCCTGCGCAGCGCAGAGAGCGGTGAGGTAGGGCCGGCTTTGAAACCCGACACCGGCAACGAGGCGTGGGTCAGCGCCGCCGCCGTCCGCCCCCCGCCGCGCCTTAAAAGCGGGCGGCAGCGGGGAGCGGGCCGCGCCGTCGGGAGAAGCGGGAGCCGCCGAAGCGCGGGGCTGCCCCTCTCCCGGGGCTGAGGGAGGCGGGCGGAGCCGCAGCGGCGGGCTGTGTCCCTGGCCCCGCCAGAGCGCCGCGCCGCTGCCCCCATGGACTTCTACGAGGCGCACCCCTCCGGCAAGGTGGATTTCGGCAGGTAAGGGGTCGGCCGCCGGCCCGCAGCCGAGCCCCGAGAGGGGCTCTCGGTGAGGTCGGTTGCAGCCGTCTCGTACTGCGCGAAACTAGGGGTTAGAAGAATTAAAACTGATCTTAGGGTGTGTTTTCTGTAACTTCACGGTGTTGCATGCCCAGGCGTCTTCTGTCTTCTTCAAACGGATCTTTTGCCGTTTTAAACGACTAGGGTTTGTTGCTGCACTTGTCACCGTGTCCCTCTGGCGACTGTGGCCGTGGACGCTGTAAGTGAATGGAAAATAGGAGAGTTCTGAAATGACTTGAAGAACTGATTTCAAAATTACTGTGTTTTGAATGATCGGCGATTCAAATGAACTTTTTTTTTTTTTTTTAGGGAAAGTGTATTTTTCACTAAAGGTTTCTGTTTTTAATACATTGCTGTCTGGAAGGAGGACTCTTAACGCAGCAGCTCAGTAACTGCACCCTGTGATTAGGATTTTTCATATGTACTTCTACCTCTGATGACACTTAATAGATGAGGCCATAGCAATTTAGGTGCGTGCGCTTCACTTTTCTGGCACGTAGAAGCCAGCGGAAGAAATCCTGTCTGCTGCCTCAGCATTAAAGGTGTGCTCTGTGCAAGACCAGGTATAAAAGCACTGTGCGGCTGATGATCTCTTGCTGACGAGTTAAACTGCACGGCGAGGGAGAGAAACAGTGGGGTTTGGGTCGGTGAAGTAAGTAGGAGTAGTTTCTGTGATCTGAACACGGAACACTTGTGGGATGTGGGATCCTCGCAGGCAAGGAGAGAGTCTGCTTTATGTAATATTGTTCTGCTTCCACTTTGGTCACGTAGAAAATAAAATTCAGAAGTTACTAAAGCTGGAGCAGGAAATGTATTTCCAGCCTTTGCTGGACTTGTCTGTTTGCGAGCAGATCCATGTACCAGTAATCTCGAAACATAAAACTTAGGATGCTTGTTTGCCTCTTATTAATAATGTTCTAATTTTCCTGAAAGAAGCTGTGGTTCTGTTAAGGAATTGAGTTGCTGCCAAACCCTACGCTTCTGATAATTCTGCAGATAATTCTTTCTGCACTGCTTTTAAGGGGGTAAGGTTACCTGTAGGGCGATACGTGTTATATTTAGGTGTTGCAATGGCAAAGAAATCACACAAAAAATAAATAGGTTTTGCATTTTGTACATCTGTGGTTAGCGGCTGCTTTATTTCTTGGTGGTTTTGGTGTCTCTTTCCTTGGGAGCCTTGCACTGGCTGGAAGGAATCAGTTTAGTGCTCTTGGGAGTTCCAGCAAGGCAGACTTAGCCCTTCAGCTTGGGAGGGATGGATCAAGTGAACTGCACCCACGTTACTTTGCCGTTTTCTTTATGAGTGACTTTAATTGGATGATTTACCCGTTTGCTAGATGCTTGAGGTTTCTTTTATCACATTGTGTAAGAACAGGAGCTTTTTCCATGTCCCTAAAGAAAATTTGTCTTCTGCTTCGACAGAGGTGGATGTCCTTGATGCCACAGTTGTCTGTAATTTGGTACGCTTCATTTTGGTATCTGTGTCAATGTGTACATGTGAAGACCTAACCAGAAGGCTTGGTGCAAGAGCTTGTCGTCTTTTTGTTGTCCTTGCTTGATTTTTTTTCCAACTATATAATACTGATTGATAGCCACAAAGTACTCTTACAAGTCCTGGAAACTCCCATGTTTTAAGCGTCTTCAACTCAGCCAAGCTGTCCTGTTGAAGCTACTTGTGTAACTAATAAAGGATCGAATGCGTGATTTGCAAAGTACTTTGCAATCATTTTGGTAGAAGGTGGTGATAAATGTAGGATACGGTTAAGCTGATTATAGTGGTTAGAGTATTTCATAACTTCTGTATTTCATAACTTTTTGTATTTGTAGTATATTTCAGTCTGAATGCATGTGGATAAAGAAATTTAAAAAGTACTTATGTACTGGGGAAGCGGTGTGATGGTGGGGAACTGCTTTTTGTGGGTCTTTTCTTAAAAATATAATTATTTATTTATTTAAAATTATTACCAGTTCATTACAAAATGAGTCTGGAATTGCTTAAGAAAGCAAAAGCCTTCCTTCTCTCTCCACCAGTCTGCAGTAAAGGAGTGTTGGGCTCTCACTGGAAAGAAAACTGTTTGAGCTACTTTTACAAAGCAGATTTAAGCAACATTAGCTTGAACTGACTTGAAAGATGAAGCGTATATTTTACCAGTACAACCGAAACATATTAAGTTGTCTAAGATGGGAGGACAGCATTTTCTACAGGTGTCCCACTTTTGCCTGTGGGCAGAAGTCCAGGTCATCTTGGAGCTTTCTTGTTCCCAGAAATCTCAAAATGCTCAGAGTAAATATTAACACTTTTTGTACACTACAACATAAAGGGAAAACTGATTTCGCCCCATCCCTCTTTTTTTTTTTTCCTCCCCAGTCCTCTGCTGAGTGTGTTTCAAATTAGTGTCACAGGTTATTTCAGCAGTAATCAGGCTTTGGGCTTCCCTTCTCAAAAAAAAAGTTCACTGCCAAACTGATTGGAGGACCCTTTGACCATTTTCCTTGTGTAGTCTATAACGAACTAGCAGCTTTTAGGTGGTGTTCTCAGGTATACCCTGAGAACAAAGGCACCTTCTGAAGGCTCGGGGGGAAAGAGGTGTTTCCTTAATTCACATTTTGTAGTTCCACGTGGGGACTGGAACTAGAAACAACTACAACCAAGCAGATTGTGGCTTGGTAGTATTACATAGGATGTGCTAGAGGTTTTGTAGGTGGCAGCCTAGCAAGTGCACGTAACTCTTTCTGGGTTGGATTCAGAGCATGAGCAGGTCAGTTGTGCTCTTAAACGGCTTTGCCTTTTCATATAGGCTGGTGTAATCCATCTGAGTTTGGTCAAATTAATCCTGATATACACTGAGCGTGAATGAGATCAGAATTAGGTTTCTGGGCTTTTTGTATTGGCTAATCCTTGCAGTGCACTGAATCAGAATATGAACGCTGTGAAACTGGAGCAGCTAATTTTGAAGAACTTTAGGAATGTTTTTTGTGTGTTCTAACAGGTGGCTTTTTTTTTTCCTTTTTTTTTTTTTTTTTTTTCCTTATGATCCAAGTAAAAGACCCGTGTTGGTTCTTCAGAATGACTCTCTCTACTCTCAGAGACGTCCTTACACCAGTGAAGATGAGGCCTGGAAAACCTTTCTTGAAAATCCCCTTACAGCAGCTACCAAAGCTATGATGAGCATCAATGGTGATGAAGACAGCGCAGCTGCCCTGGGACTGCTCTATGATTACTACAAGGTAGATTGGCGTGGGTACACTCTGGCAGGCAGAGGAGCTCTTGTTCTGCCTCTCATTTGCTAGAGGATTTTATGGAAGCTATGAATAGATCATGAAGACTTTAAATTATGTGGGCTTTAAAAGGGAAAAAAAATCCACGTCCCTTTTTCTGAAAATTAGTTTATTTTTAGCTCAGGAAAATAAGATCTTCTGGATCTTAATGTAGTGTATCAAAAGCTTCGGTAGAGCTTTGCCTGTCAAGTCCAGGTTCTGCAGATGGCAGTATATTAATAGAAATAGTGATGAAGAATGAGACATGGGGAGCATGTCTGTCTGAATGTAAATACGCATTGAGAAGGAAACTTTTCTCCTTTTTCTCGTGTGATCCCTGTTCTGGTGGGACTCTTTGCTTTTGCTGGAGCTTTGATGTGCTAGCTTAGTCTCAGCTAATACTAAGCTATAACTACAGAGCTTTGGTGGAGTGTGGGGCAGAAGTGTCTGCTTGAAGGAGTTGCTGTCTGCATTCTTTTAACCTTTAGCTGCTGTAATTTGTTAATCCTTTGACAGTTGTGGTTGTCTTCCCCAGCATTCAGTCTTCTCACAGATGTGTGCCTTAGATGCTCAGCGGTGAATTGAACAGAGTCAAACAGATGACCTTCGTGTTTGCATGGAATACATTTTGCTGAGCTTTCTTTCCAAAATGTCAGGAGTCTAAGCCAGCGTAGTTATCTCCAGTCCACGTCCAAGTCAGTGGAGACAAGCGGCCATT